GGGGGCGGTGAAAACCACGCCACAATGCCGCACCCCTGACCCATCCCAACCGTGCCCCCCATCTCCCCGCAGGAAGACGTTCCCGTCCCAGCACGCCACGCTCTCCGCTTTCGCTGCCGTCTACGTGTCGGTGAGTTCTCGGCACTGCTCGGTGTGTGCCGGCTCGGGGGGCTGTGCCAGCTCTGGGGGCTGTGCCAGCTCCGTGCCGCTGGGCAGCAGCGTCCCCCTCCTGTCAGCACCCCCCTTCCCGTGCACAGACAAGCTCTGCCGGACACACGTGTGCTGTGTCGAGGTGTGGGTGCGTTCACACCCATGCACTTGCAGTTCCATGTGCCCCCCTAGAACTCTGTGCACAGCCGGGGGCCGGGGAGGGGGAGGCCGTGGTGCCGTGGTGGCAGCGGGTGCCACGAGCCGTGACTAACACCCCATCACCATCGCTATCGCCAGATGTATTTCAACTCCATCATCTCGGACAGCACCAAGCTCCTCAAGCCCATCCTGGTCTTCGCCTTCGCCATCGCCGCCGGCATCTGCGGCCTGACCCAGATCACCCAGTACCGCAGCCACCCCGCCGACGTCTACGTGGGCTTCCTCATCGGCTCCGGCATCGCTGCCTACCTGGTGGGTGCCAGTCCCTGCCCTCGGGTGGCTGCAGGGGCTCGGGGGGGGAAGGATGCTGGGTGCAGAGCTGTGCTGACCCCCCGTCCCCTCTCCTCAGGCTTACCACGCTGTTGGCAACTTCCGAGCCCCAACGGAGAGGGTCCCGGTGCCGGCGCCAGCCAAGGACGCGCTGCGGGCACTGACGCAGCGGGGCCACGACTCTGTCTACCACCAGAACAAGTCGGTGAGCACCGACGAGCTGAACCCCCAGACGCGGCTGGAGGAGGCGGCGCGGCCGGTGCCGCGGGAGAAGAACTCCCTGGGCAGCCTGAAGCGGGCCAGCGTGGACGTGGACCTGCTGGCCCCCCGCAGCCCCATGGGCAAGGAGAACATGGTGACCTTCAGCAACACCCTGCCCCGCGTCAACACCCCCTCCATGGACGACCCCGCGCGGCGGCACATGACCATCCACGTCCCCGTGGACGCCTCCCGCTCCAAGCAGCTCATCACCGAGTGGAAGCAGAAGTCCCTGGAGGGCCGGAGCATGACGCTGGCGGAGGAGGCGGCACACGGCCGGGGTGCTGGGGACGCCGGCGAGGACGTGCCCCCCTCCCTCTACCCCACGGTGCAAGCGCGCTCGGCCGAGCGGGCGGCCATGGGGCCCCGTGTCCTCATCCAGCCCCGGCCGGGCGCCTCCCAGCTGGTGCACATCCCCGAGGAGAGCCAGGCGGGCGCCGGTGGCCCGGCCGGCAGCGGGGCGGCCGTGCGGGCCAAGTGGGTGATGGTGGCGGAGAAAGGGGGGGCGCAGCGGGTGGCCAACCCCCCGCGCCTGATGCAGGTCATCGCCATGTCCAAGCAGCAGAGCATCGTCTCCGTCACCCCCAAGCACTCGGAGACCTCCTCGTCCTCCACCAGCTCCGACTCCTCCCAGTACCGCTCACCCTCGGAGCGCGACAGCTCCAGCATCATCACCATCGACGCCCACGCCCCCCACCACCCCGTCGTCCATCTCTCGGCCGGGAACGGGCCCTGGGAGTGGAAGTCGGGGCCGAAGGGGCCGGAGGGGCCGGATTCCTACGAGCTGGGTGAGATGGGGAAGGATTTCCGCGGCTTCCGCCCGGCCAAGAGCGCTGGCGTCTCCCCCGGCTCCTCCGTCAGCGACATGGAGCAGGATGAGCCACGCTACGGCAGCCTGGCCGCCATCCCGGGGGCGGTGGGGGGTGGTGGGGAGCGGGGGGACCCCCCCTCTGAAGGGCTGCTGGGCACGGCCAGCCGGGAGTCCACGCTGCGGAGGAAGCCGGCCGAGAGGGACGGGCAGGGGGACAGCGAGGTGGACCACTACTACAAGAAAATGCAAGCCAGCCGGAGGTTTAAGGACTGAGCCCCCGTTGCCTTCCCTGCGCCCGGCCCCCGGCTCCCCTGCCGGGGCTTGGGGGGCTTGGGGAGGGTCCATAATGTTGGGGTCCTTCTCTGCTGGGGGGACACCAGGATGGGGCTGTCTTTGGCATTGGGGCGACCGAGCAGAACAAGGAGCAGAACGTGGTCACATCGGATCCTGAGCCAGCTGAGCCACGTGTGAGACCCCCCCAGTGCAGGACCCAGCTCCTGCCTGGGCAGCTGGGGAGGTTTCGGGGGGCTCTGTCCCCCCCCCGGCCCCGTCCTGCGGGGCTGGGCAGCTCCAAGCACTTTTGACTTTCTTTTTTCTCTCTAACATAGGTGCTGACATTTCTGAGGGGTTAATTTATTCCAGCTCTGGAAGTGTATGTTTGGGGGGGGCGGGTGGGGAGCAAATGGTGCTGAAGGGGTTTGGGGGGGCTGGATTGAGGGCTCATGGGGGGGAA